CCTGAATCACCTTTCCTCACAGAACAGATACCAATGCAGGGAAATGAACAGAGTTGTGCCTAGTCAGACCAAGTACAACTGAGCACAGATGCCCAGTACAGGGAGTCCACAGCACTTCTTCATTCTCATGTGTTCCATGGTACAGAAACACCCCACCCACACTTGTACTACACGGAGTAAAAGTCATCCCTGATCTGAAAGCCAACACAAAGCCTAAGCATTACTGAAATCCCGTATAGGCTTAGCATTTTAAATAAACCCTTATTTTTTAATAAATAAAATCTCAGGAAATAAAGTCTTATTTATTTAATAAATAACAACAGTATGGATTGAATTCAAACATCTGAGATAAAAACATTCCTTCGTAAATGCTCAGCATTGCCCTGGCCATGCTACAAGGGCTGCAGATGGCATATTGTCAGCACTGTCAGCAGCTTTATTCAGATAAACTAGGGCAGGGTAATCTTTGCATTCACAAAGGGATATATAGCAAACTTCAAAAAACAAGGAGAACCTTTCGAGCTTTTAGAAGTCTAAATTAAAAAGGTGAAGTGGGGTGGGCTGGCTGAGGAAGAGAAACACCAACACTGACCCCCTCTGTGGGTCAGCAAAGGCAGGGGCTAAGCCAAACCCACATCCTCCATTTGATCCACTCCACTTGAAGAGAGGTTTGAATAACAGAACAGTGTAAGTAATTGGGGAAAACAGACAGTCAAAGAGGAGGACTTGACTGCCCTTCCTTCTAAATTGCAAGATGAACTTAAAACCCACAGCACTTCTGTAAAAACCAACCAACCAACCAACCAACCAACCAAAAAGCAAAAACTCCACAAAAAAAACCCCTCCATTTTTTAACATACTCTGATTTCCTGATTTTCAGTTCGAAGAGTATATAAGCACTTTCAATATTTTTCACTTTCAGTAATTTTCAAGTGCTTCAAACAGTATTTTCCAATTACTTCTCAACCATGCCAAGCCTAGAAATGTGTTTCTTAAGTGAAGGCTGAGATCCTTGTTCAAACACTTGACAACGAGAGCCGGGACATCTAGACTTTAGAAAAAATATTTTAGGTCCTGTTTTACAGGACATCAAATACTATGAGACATGATAAATATATCAGACCCAGCAACATAGCACTGATAAAAAAAAGAAAAAGCAAACCCATAAGCCATGTTGAAATAAAGCATATTTCCTGTAAGATCAAGAGAAACCTTTCAACCTCTTCCAGTCCAGTGTTAAGGATTTTGTAATATGAGATAAACCTGGCAGAGAGTCATGGCATTACCTAAGTAGAGAGACGCCAACATCGCTGAAGGCAAACCAGTCTGTGGGTGAAGATCTGGCAGAAGACCAGTTGGCTCTTAGGAAAATTTACTTAGACTTGACCCTTGATTTGCAGCCATTGAATCTTTTTCTGGTTTTAAACTTTATTTCAAGCCTATGTTTATCCTATCAGCAGCATGTTCCTGTACTGGCCTGCATCTTTAAGGCTACAATACTGTTTGCAATCAGAGAGTAAGAACATCACTGGTAGTGGCACTTTGTTCCAGAGTTGTTGGCATGAACCGTAGGCAGGAGGAGTTCTGCTAATAACACATTATCAAACATAAAACATTGCTTGTGCTTAGATTTACTTTGCAAGACAGAGTAGTTACACAGGGGACTGCTACTTTATTCCTCACCATTTCAGGGGACTGTCATGCATGCAGCTGATACCCTGAATAGTAATCTGGACCTATGCATTGAGAAGTTTAGAAAAGGCACAGGGCTGTCCACATGCTGAACATGAAAGACTTACACAAGTGCCTGTGGGTCAGAGACAACACGTTTGTCTTTCTGAGCTCCATACCTTAACAGCATTGATTACATTCTTATCCAGCTTGTGAACTTTGGGCAAAGTCAATGTGGTTCAGCCTTAAGCAAGAGTCAGAGATCTATGTACTTTACTGGGTCTCAGCTGGTGCACCTCTACAAGGAATAATGGAAAAACTGGACTTTGAGTTCGAGGGAATCAATCAAAGAGTGTGCTCATATATACAGAGATGGCCAAGGCAGTGCATATTCTGTTCATACTTTCTTAAGATATAAAAGCCCTGAACTGGTCAGACTATTGGACTAGATGGTCACTGTAGGTCACTGCCAACTGAGACAGTCTATTCTAATCTATTCTAATTGAAAAATTTAACTGACTCACCTTTGTGAAGACCAGGACTTATTTTGCCTTAGGTTATCTTTAAATC